AGGAAAAGAAAAAAGAAAGAAAGAAAGAAAGAAAGAAAGAAAGAAAAGAAAGAAAGAAAGAAAGAAAAGAAAGAAAGAAAGAAAGAAAGAAAAAGAAAGGAGAGAGAGTGAGGGAGGGAGGAAGAGCGTGAGAGAGAAAGAGGAAGAGAGAGGGAGTGAGAGATAGGAGGATGTGGTACGGATAGAAGGGAGGAAGGAAGTAGACTGAGAAAGAGAGAAGATAGCGGGGGTGGATGTGACCTCAGGAAGGAAAGGGCGATTTCGTTGCAAAGGAAAGGACTTTATGTAATGTACAGATACAGGAGGCCGACTATCCTTACTGTGCTCTGGGCCACAGGACGAAGGGTAAAGAGGGGGTGTAGGCGGAGGGTGAGGGAGGGCGACGAGGGGGACGGACGAAGCGGGTATGGGCGCACTCGAGGGTTGCCTGTGGAGGGGGGGAGGCCTAGTTAGATGAATGGGAGGGATGTCGGGGGGGGGGGTATTAATCCTCATCTCCTCCCTCCGCCATTGCGCCCGGTCACCATCACGAGGGAGGAGTTCACTGTTGCGGTGGTTTGTTCCCGCCCCAGCACCCCCTTCCCTTCCCTCTACCCCGTCCCCCACCTCCTGTGTTCCCCTCATGCCACTTTTGTCACGTAGAGTGCGAGGGGCGGCGGCGGCGTCGGAGATCGAGGGCGGGATCATGTAGTTACTCCTTTATCAACCGTTTTAAAAATGGTTTTGTTTATTATTGATACTGTTTTTGTTATAGTTAGTGGTTAATGTTGCTGGCGATTGCAACAATTGATGGTAGTAGTTTTCCTTTTCATATTCGACAAAGGGGGTATTGACTGGAGAAAAAAAATATTTTGGGAAAACTAGCGAAATATTAAGAAGCAACATGATTACTTAGGCCAGTCACCTACTGCAGGGCAATATATGTAACCGTTTCTGTTTTGTGTCGGTATTTATTAGTGCTAGAAGTATCTGATATTACCAGTTCATCCTAAACCAACATGCTAAGTAGTGAGAGTCGTTGCAGTCACGAATGTTAAACGGCCGGCTCATTCGCGTCTTCTTTGAGGTCGTGTAACTTCGCTTTATTAATAGATTAATAGCGTCGATATTGGGAACAGATATTATAATAATCCTAGTACCCATTTGATGTGTTCTAATCGAGTACTTGCATGCACCGTAGTGGTTATCAGCAGGCAACGCCCATGTGCGCAGGCGCGGGTATGCGTGCCTACGCCTTTGCACCCCTGTTACGGCCCCATGGCGCAGGCGAATGTCATTGTCGCCAAGTTTTGAGCCGACTGAATTCACAGTGCGCCTTCATTCACGCACACGCCGAGACGCATTCGTCATGTGTCACCGCCGCTGTGGGCAGAGCGGCAGACATGGCGAACGGTCTTGAGATGTTTTCTATTTTTGTTGCCGTGTTCGAAAATTCCATTTTTTAGAAGCTGCTCCTTTACTTTTTGCGCATATGGTAGATTCCGCTTATTATAAAGTACGCTTTTCTAAGGCTCTTTCTTGACGTCCTCCGAAATATTTTGCTTTCGGTGTTATTGTACATTGGAGTAACCGTAGGCTATAAATTGACACCGCAAGCCCGCATTGTATCCTATATTTGAATGAAAAACTAACTAATTGGTGCTACGAACAAGAAATATTTTCCAAATTGTATAGTTTTCTATTGGTCCGGAAAGTATTGTTTAAGCTATTTTCACTAACAAAAGATTTGAATTTTGATCGAGCGCTCTTCGCGACGCCTTGAAAGCTGAGACGGCGGCTCGGCGGAGCATAGAAAACGGGCCGGCGCTCCCCTAAAAGAAGGCGACGGCGAGGTGGCAAGACCCGACGGACGAGGAACGCTTGCAACGCGGTCGACGCACGCGCGCATTCCCTCTTTTAAACTGATCAAGCATTTTCACTCACACGGCTTCATATTTTGGCAATACCATACAGGCAGTTATTCATTTATCCACACCTTCACGATGTATAATACTGGTTACTCACCGCTTTTGGACGCCATTTCCATTCACTGTATTCCATTTGTTAAAGCAGTGTTTGGTCCATTATCTACTTTCTTTTTAGAATATATATTTGTAATCCTCCTAGTCCTCTTTAATTGCACATCAGCCTTATAAAACACTTTTTTTAAAAGCAAATCGATGAATTTTCTTGGATTTTTTTCTTTGTTGCAATGACATACTTGCGTACAGTGTCTTCAGAAACAGTCTCTGAAGTTTAACTTGATTTATACTTGAGAGACCTGTGTAGTGAAGAGAGAGGGATCTCTTGTGCAGGTGAAAATACTAATGTAAGACATTTTTGGTCATGTTAAACCTCTGCCTCAGTACTTGTAAGGGCTTCAAGTAAGATTACTAGGTTTCTTCTGGCAGAGAGGCAAAGAGTGGATGAAAACAGGAGTGTGTAACAATATCAAGCTGAAGGAGAGACAGGCAGACAGAGACAGACAGACAGAGACAGACAGAGAGAGAAACCAAGACAG